GCCAGTAAACGTAGCCGGGACCATACAAGATACTAAATTACATGTCATCGAAGGTGACATGAGGTATAACACGCTCCTCGGGAGACCATGGATACACAATATGAGGGCAGTACCTTCAACTCGTCATCAGATGATGAAGTTCCCAACGGAGGATGGAGTGAAAACGGTTTACGGGGAGCAACATGGTGCAAAGGATATGTTTGCACTTGAGGAGGTGGGGTCGATACCAGAGCCTTCGACCTCGGAGAAATCGGGCACCAAAGGTAAGCATGCGGCTAAATAGCAGTCACCGTCCCCAGCCTCGACAGAATCGGAGCAACAGGTAATCGAGGAAGAAGAAGAGGATTTCCTTACTCCTCGAACCTTCGTCGTTCCTGAAGAGTCCGATGCAACCAAGTCAACTGTCGAGGAGCTGGAGCAGGTCATACTGATCGAATACATGCCCGAGACAAAGGTATACCTGGGAACGGGATTAACCCTCGAACTCAGGAAAAAACTCATTCAATTTCTTATTGATATATGGATTGCTTTGCTTGGTCCTATTTAGATATGACAGGGATTCCACCGAAAATCACCACACATCGGCTAAACATCGACCCCAGGTTCAAACCGGTGAAGCGAAAAAGGAGGCCCCAGTCCGAGGTGAAATATGCGTTCATAAAGGGCAAGGTAACCAAACTCCTTAAAATAGGGTCTATTCGTGAGGTAAAATACCCCAAGTGGTTAGCCAATATAGTTGTAGTTCCTAAAAAAGGAAACAAACTTAGAATGTGTGTAGACTATAAGGACTTGAACAAAGCATGTCCCAAAGATTCTTTCCCACTGCCCAATATCGATCGTATGATCGATGCTACGGCCAGCCACGAGATCCTAACCTTTGTCGATGCCTACTCCGAGTATAATCAGATTCAGATGAACCTGGAGGACCAGGAAAAGACTTCATTTATTACTAAGTTTGGAATTTATTGTTACAACGTAGTGCCCTTTCGGATAAAAAATGCAGGAGCTACATACCAATGCCTAGTTAACAAAATGTTCGAAGAACAAATAGGTAAAATAATGGAAGTTTATATTGATGATATGTTGGTTAAGTCCCTGCGCGCAGAGGACCATTTAGTTCATTTGCAAGAAACATTCGAAATCTTGAGGAAATACAACATGAAGTTTAACCCGGAGAAATGTGCCTTCGGAGCTAGCTCGGGTAAGTTCCTTGGCTTCATGGTGTCAAATTGGGATATCGAAATTAACTCCAATAAGATCAAGGCCATCGAGGATATCACTATCGTGGATAGTGTGAAGGTCGTGCAAAGACTAACAGGGCGAATAGCTGCTTTGGGTAGATTCATTTCGAGGTCGTCGGATCGAAGTCACCATTTCTTTTCCTTGTTCAAAAAGAAAAAGGATTTTGCATGGACCCCGAAATGCCAACGAGCCTTGGAGGAACTAAAGCGATACTTATCGAGCCCGCATTTGTTTCATACCCCGAAGGTAGATGAAAAACTTTACCTATATTTGGCAGTGTCCGAGATAGCGGTAAGTGGGGTACTAGTTCGAGAAGAGCAAGGTACACAATTCCCTATTTATTATGTAAGCCGAACTCTAGGAGATGCTAAAACTAGATACCCTCACTTAGAAAAATTGGCACTTGCATTGATAAGCGCATCTAGAAAGCTAACACCGTACTTTCAATGTCATCCCATATATGTATTTACCACTTACCCCCTTTGTAATGTTTTTCATAAGCCTGAGCTGTCGGGCCGGCTGGCCAAATGGGCTGTCGAACTTAGCGGGTACGATATCAAATATCAACCTTGCACCGCCATCAAGTCTCAAATCTTAGCTGACTTCGCGGTTGATTTTACGCCGACCCTCATAACCGAAGTAGAGAAAGAACTCCTGCTAAGTTCGGGTACATCATCAGGGGTATGGACCGTTTTTACGGACGGTGCCATGAATGTGAAAAAGTCCGGGCTTGGTATTGTCTTGAAACTACCCACGAGTGATACCATTAGACAATCTATCAGTGACTAACAATGAGGCCGAGTATGAGGCCATGATTGCAGGTCTCGAGCTAGCTAAGAGCTTGGGAGCAGAAGTCATCGAAGCCAAGTGCGATTCTTTATTGGTGGTAAACCAAGTAAACAAAAGTTTTGAAGTTCGAGAGGATAGAATGCAATGGTACTTGGATAAGCTGCAGGTAACTTTGCACCGCTTTAAGGAGTGGACTCTGTATTATGTGCCTCGAGAACAAAACAGCGAGGCCAATGCACTTGCAAATGTGAGATCCTCGGTCGAAGAAGATGACATCGTCCAGGGGACTGTCGTCCAGTTGTCGAGGTCTGTGGTTGAAAAGGGTCACGCCGAGATAAATTCAACAAGTTTGACGTGGGACTGGAGGAATAAGTATATTGACTATTTGAAGAGTGGGAAACTCCCATCGGATCACAAAGAATCAAGAGCACTACGAACCAAGGCTGCTAGGTTTGCATTAGATGAAGATGGAACATTGTACTGGAGAACATTCGATGGGCCATTGGCGGTATGTTTGGGGCCAGGGGACACCGATTATGTTCTACGAGAAATCCACGAAGTCACTTGTGGGAATCACTCTGGCGCCGAGTCTTTGATTCGCAAAGTTATCAGAGTAGGGTATTACTAGGATAGCATGGGAAAAGATACAAAGGAATTTGTCAAAAAATGTGATAAGTGCCAACGATTTGCACCAATGATCCATCAGCCCGAAGAACAACTCCATTCAGTTCTATCCTCGTGGCCATTCATGAAATGGGGAATGGACATAGTCGGTCTCCTTCCAACGGCCCCAGGTAAAGCTAAGTTTATTCTGTTTATGACTGACTATTTTTCTAAATGGGTGGAAGCACAAGCCTTCAAGAAGTTCAGAGAAAAAGAAGTTATTGACTTCATCTGAGACCACATCATATGCCGGTTCGGGATACCTGCCGAGATTGTATGTGACAATAGAAAACAATTCATCGGCAGCAAGGTGACGAAGTTCCTCGAAGCACACAAAATAAAGAGGATCTTATCAACACCATACTACCCAACTGGAAATGGACAGGCTGAGTCAACGAATAAAACTATCATACAAAACATGAAGAAAAGGTTGGACGATGCAAAAGGGAAATGGAGAGAAGTTTTACCCGAGGTTCTTTGGGCATATCGAACAACATAGAAGTCTAGCACTGGGGCTACCCCGTTTTCTTTGGTATATGGCTCCGAGGCCCTTATCTCTGTCGAGGTTAGAGAACCCAGTGCCAGGTTTCGACATACATCAGAGGAGTCAAATCACGAGGCTATGAATACTAGCCTCGAGCTATTAGACGAAAAAAGAGAAGCAGCACATGGGCCGCGCAGAAGCAAAGGATCGAAAGGTACTACAATAGAAGGACCAATCTTCGACATTTCAGAATCGGGGGCTTAGTTCTACGGAAAGTCACCCTCAATACTCGAGATCCGAATGAAGGGAAATGGGACCGAATTGGGAAGGACCGTACCGAGTCCTCGGAGTTTTCGGTAAAGGATCTTAAAAACTTAGCACGATGGAAGGTGAACAACTACCAAACAATTGGAACGTATCATTACTCAAAAGATACTACTGCTAAGGTATGACTTTATCCTTTTGTCTATTTGAGTTTAAAGCTAACTCACTGCAGGTTTTCGATCGAAGCTATCGAAGGCACCCCTTTTTACACGAAGGCCTTAGGTTTTAAAGCATGCGTTGCACTCTTTTTCACATAGACCGGATTTTGTCCCAAATGGGTTTTACCGGCAAGGGTTTTAACGAGGCAACAACTATATGCTACCTAAGGAAAACTCAAACAGTATCCAAGGCTTCTTTTCAATCAACCTCGAATACTGGGGGGCATCACCCTCGGAGATCATATTTTCGAGGAAAATACTTCACGCCTAAGAGGGCCTCGATAGGAAAACTTTGTAATGGGCCAAACGGTCAGATGAACCGTGTCCATGTAGAATAGTCGAGCCCGACGGCAAAACAAGTACACATGTATCAATTATTTGTAGAAGCATTCTGTTTATATCAAAAACACTTTGTGTCTCAAAGAAGTTTACTATTTTTTTTTAGTAAATCCACTAGGCTGAGCGCCTAGGGCTAGTTTTTATATATATCTAAATAAAAGGAAAGAAGTCACATGATGTCTTACGCGGGGTAAGACAATATAATTTGTCAATTACATACCTCCTACTATCAATATTTGAGCGTGTGTGCCCAATACTGATATTAACATTTATACTAATTCTGAAAACTAAAACTAGTCTATTACAGAAATAGCCATATTCTGCATTGTTGAATATTTGGATGCCATGATGGCCCGTCTCCTTGTGATTTTCTCCAGCTTTGTTGTAAAATTCCTTACCAAATCTGTACTCATTTGAATAGCATTTCTCTTTATTTACTTCATGTTTCATCCAGTTGTGTAAGATCAGTACAACAACTGTCCAGTTCCATCTCTTTGTGCTGCATGTGAATTTAACTGATGTGCTTCTTGAGTAACTATGTGAACTTCCTCTGATCCTGTGTGCATGGTGAGTCCCTCGAGCTATAAGTATACTTATCACACCTTTTTTCAGCAACTATTGCCTCTTCCTTAACCTGCAATTTGTTGCTCCTTGTGGTAGTTTTTTCCAAATGTCCCTGTATCCTCCTTGCATGTCTGATGATTCTCCTGCTCTTTTTCTTTTGTTTGGCTTCTTGTGTGTGGTGTTATCTTCCTCAATTTCTTCAAGATGATTCCCTTGGATATCATTCCTATGATTCTGCACCTGTTATGTACCTATATTCTATTTGTCTGCTCCTTGTGATTGCCCTTTTCAGATGTTCCTGTGTCCTCTTTGCTTATCTGATGTAACTTTTGTTCTATTTCCTTTGCCTGAGTCCTTGAATGTGGAGATATCTTCTTTAGCTGCTTCATGCTGGCACTCTTGAACTTCTTTCCTATGATTCTGCACCTGCTATATACCTATGAGGTGGTGCATTTTTTGATAGCACCATATTCTGTTTCCTGCTTCACATCTTTGTCTGAAAATGGTTGGCTTGTTGCTAGTGTTTCTGAGGTGTTATCCTCCACTTTTGTGATCTTTCCAACCACTTCATTTGTCCAAAGTATTGCTTGCCAATGTTGCTTGTCCAGTTCTGAGAAAATAGCCTGCCAATAGTAAAATCCAGCTTCTATGCTTGTGCCTATCCATGGTTTCCTTCCAGTGGAATGAGTGCTCAGCACTAATACCACCAACTGGAATTCCTCCAAAGGATAGGGCATAGACACAATAGCTTTTCCTGCAAAGAAGAAAACCATGTTAGTATAAAAGGACTTCACCATATCCTCCTTCAAAAGGATTTGGATATGATGAGCATATGATACAACTCCTGCTTCCTTCCTCTTTTCTTCCTCTATCTCTACCTCCTTGCTACATTTACCCTTATATATGGACATTGTAGTTTATCACTGTTCACCAATCTCCTGCCATGTGAATCTAGATCATGAAAACCAAAGCATTCTACATTACCATGATCTAGTGCATAATTAGCAATGTGGTCTGCTAGACTATTTTCTTCTCTAAGAGTATGAGCTACAGTTATACTGCATCTTGCCAGCAAGTGCTTGATCTCTTCAACAATTGCACTGATATTCCATGGTATCTTCCATACCCCATCTATCACATTCTTCAGCATCATAGAATCAGTATTTAACTCAATGAATTCATACCCTTTACCAACACAGTACTTCATAGCTTCAAGAATAGCTCTTGCTTCTGCAACAGAGTTTGATCCCTCTTGAATTTCCTTACCACAAGCATACAGAACATCCCCTTCCTCATTTCTCACCACATAACCAATTGAGCTTCTACCAGGATTACCCCTTGAAGCCCCATCAGTGTTCACCTTTATCCACCCTCGTGAAGGCATCTCCCACAGCACCTTTGTGTATTGCAACTGAGGTGTATATTGCTCTAATACCCTAATCAAGTCAGGCCATTTGTGAGGAGGATTTTGAATACCTGGTTTCCTTAGCTTCACTAGACATTGCATGGTTGTGGAAATTTGATAAATCACCCTATTAACTGTCACAGCATCACCATATTTGTATCCATTCCTTCTCTTCCACAACTCCCGTATTATCACTGCTGGTAATGCTTGCATAATAGGCTTCATTCTCTGAATAGCATCAACAGTCCAGCATTTTATTATAGCTTGATGTAAAGTGACCCCCTCTATTAATATTCCTGCATGTCCAAGAAAGTATTTCCATATAGTATTTGCAGCAGGTGAAGTGAAAAACAAGTGCTGCAATGTTTCTTCCTTTGGTTCTAAACAGCACCAACACCTAGAAGCCATTTGATAACCCAACCTTCTATAAAAATCATCTAAAGGCAACTTGTTCTTCCAGAACTTCCACATAAAGAATGAAATCTTGAAGGGCAGACCTTTCACCCAAATATTCCTATATGCATTTCTAGGCTCCTGTCTCCTTCTCAAATACTCCCATGCAGACTTCACACTGAATTCTCCCCTATTCTCAAGCATCCACACAGGTTTGTCAATCATATCACTTGTAGTTGGAGGTTGAATGTTCTGCAGAATATGTGATGCAAGATCTTCAGGAAGTATTTCCCTTAATCTTTCCTCATTCCGCTGTCCCTCCTCAACCACATCATATATGTTCTGCACTTCTTCATCTACCACATGATCTAGTGGTGTAACAAAATATAAAGCCCCAAGTCCTGTTCAGTTTTCATACCAAAAAAGAGATGATCCCATCTTGATTTGCCATAAGATCTGATGCTCCATGATATCCCTACATTCAAGCATTTTTCTCCACACATGTGAACCACCCCTCCATGGTACTATGATAGGATTCAATTTCTTGCAGTATTTCTGACACATGAAGGAGCTCCAAAGGCTAGGTTTTGTTCTAAAGTTCCACCACAACTTACAGAACAAAGCAGTTGCCATATCATGCAGAGATCTAAAGCCAACACCACCCTCTTCACATGGCAAACATAAATTATTCCAAGATGCCCGGTGCCTATTAGATGTACCAACTGAATCACTCCAAAAGAACTGTGCAAATATTTTATGCAGCCTATTAATAACATAGGCTGGAGGATTCACTGCTGATAGAAGATATATTGGCATGCTTTGCAATACATGAGTAATGAGAACCGCCCTTCCTCCTATGGATAACAATTTACCCTTCCAGTTCTGCAGTTTGTTCATCACCTTTGTAATCAAGTCTTGGTAGTAATTCATTCTCCTTCTAAGGTAAAAAATTGGGCACCCCAAATATGTGAAAGGAAACTCCTGATTTGGTATACCTGTAATCCTCTGAACTTTTTCTATCACTTGTGCTCTAGCAGAATGGTGCATATATACAGCTGATTTGCTCTTGTTTATCAACTGTCCAGATGCAGCTTCATATGAGGATAAAATCTGCATAATGAGCTTTAAGGATCTGGCATCTGATGATGAGAAAATGATTGTATCATCAGCATATGCTAGATGATTAATCTTAGGACTCCATTTGGGCAATCCAAATCCACGAAAATGCAGATTACTATGTAATGACTTAAGCCCTCTTGATAATGCTTCAGCTGCCAAAATATGCAGTGTAGGTAACAAAGGGTCACCTTGTTTCACCCCTCTAGTTGATCTAAAAAAGCCATGTGGTTGTCCATTCAATAAGATAGAGTACCAGTTGTTTGAAACAATTCCAAACACCAGACCTATGAACCTTTCTCCCAATCCCATTTTCCTTAACACCTTTGACAGGAACAGCCAGGATAATTGATCATAAGCTTTTGCCATGTCCAATTTGATCACTAAATTTGGACCTGCTTTGGTTCTTAGTCTAATGTCTGTGATTAATTCCTGTGTTAATAACACATTCTCCACTATGCTTCTCCCTTTAACAAAACCTGCTTGTTCATCAGAAATCAAACTAGGCAGCATCCCTACCAACCTTTCATGCACAACTCTTGAAAAGATCTTGTTAACAAAATTACTGAGACTAATATGTCTCATACCTGAGAAGGTCACAACTTCCTTCTTCTTTGGAAGTAAAACTAGATTTGTATGAGTTACAAATCTTGGTAGTTCATGCCCATTGAAAAAGGACTGCACCATGTCTACTATGTCATTACCTATGATGTCCCAACATGAGTGAAAGAAAGTACCATTAAAGCCATCCGGACCTCCAGCACTTTCTCCATTTAAACCAAATACTGCACCTTTAATCTCTTCCTTGGTTGGCTGCTACATTAACTCTATGTTTTTAACATTGTCCACCATTGTTGGAATGTGTTGCAGGATATCAAATGAGGTAGGGACTGATTCCTCATGGAACTGAGCTTGATAGAAATTAATTGCTTCCTCTTCCATGACTTTCTCATCTTCTATCCAAATACCTGCTGAGTTCTGGATCCTTTTTAGTTGAAATCTTTTCCTTCTTCCATTTACTTGTGTATGAAAAAATCTTGTGTTCCTATCTCCATCTTGAAACCAAGCCATACCAGACTTTTGTCTCCAAAATTCCTCCTCAAGAGCCAAGTACCTAATAAGTTCAGCTTGAACTTTCTGCAGCATTTCTCTATTCTGAGTTGTTGGATGTCTTTCAAATTCAGCTTCATGAACCATTACAACCTCCTCTAGGCTAGCTATTTTCTAAAAGATATCCCCATAGGTAGCCCTACTCCAATTTGATAAGGCTCTTTTTAATTTCTTCAACTTGTAGTTAAACAGGTAGAAAGGATCACCAGCAAAATCTGCACACCAGTTCTCCTTTACAACATCCTTAAATGTAGAGAAGTTTACTATTATACGAGCTCTATACTTATAATCCTACGGGAAATGGCTCAAGAGCAAAAATACGAATGTACACCCGAAACACTCGGGGACTGTCATCGACAGTCAGCACATCCGAGCGATTGAAAACTCGGACTCATAAGACCTCAAAGAGAAATCTCCTCGATATAAAGGCCAAGGCCAATATACTCGGGGACTAACTTTTCGAACAAGTTTGAAAGATTATCGGGAAATAAGTCCAAGAGACATACCCGAAGGCTACGCCATATCAAAGACTACGGTCATATAAAAAGGCTACGGCCAAAATAATGCAGCTCGAAGAAGTCCGACTTTCGCCATAAATTAAAGGCCTTCAAACACTTTTAGAAAACCGGTTAAATTAGGCTACCCTCAGCAAAAGCAAAATATAAAGGGCTTCGATAAATTCAGCCGTCGAATAATTTTAAGGATTCGATAACATCAGCCTTCGAAAAAACCCCAAGAGGTATTTGATTATGTTTATACAAACAAATTACTAATAAGGTTCCGATTTGTCAAACCTTCAATAAACCCAATGGGTACGAAAAACACATGCTAAAGCATACAAAAATTCTCACTAAGTCTTTTAACCGAAAAAAGGGAAAAACTATAGCCACTTTAGAGGCCGAATCGGCCCAACTTAAAGAGCCTATGGGCCGATATATAAGAGCCTAAGGGCCAACCTAAAGAGCCTAAGGGCAGATATATAAGAGCCTAAGGGCCAACTTAAAGAGCCTAAGGGCCGATATAAAAGAGCCTAAGGGCCGACCTAAAAGAGTCTACGGGCCAAAATATATATTGAGTTCGAGACCTTGCTCTTACTCAACTTGGACTCAAGAGTTCCGACATCCCGAGCTCGCATCCAGTTGATTTAAGCTTAGCTCGAGGATTACCTAAGACCTTAAGAGGCATTATGTTGATCAATTAAAATCCTAAGGGTTTATTATGTTCTGAGTCCAAACCAATACTCGGACTGATCATTTGAGTTGTACAATTGAATTTTCCATAAACAAGGACAAAATGAGATTCAACACAAGCCAAAGTTGAAACAAAGAGTTCCTTTGTATTTCTAAAAGATATTTACAATACCCATAAGGGGTACTTACACAAAAACACTAAGGCAAAATAAAGAAACCTAAAACTACTCCGGGGCCACATCTTCGGCAACTTCATCTTCGGGAGCCTCCTCCTCGGGGACTTCATCTTCGTCTCCTCTGCTCTTGGAGCCACTAGCTGAGTCATCCTCATCAGAAAGCAAAGCGGCAGCCTCTTCTTCCAAAGTCTTCGCCCTTTCAATATCGGCTGAGAGATCGAAGCCACGAGCATGCACCTCCCCGAGGGTTTCCCTCCGAGACTGTCGCCTGGCATGGTCAAGTGCACATGATAACTTAACTTCGGCCGCAACAGAGATCTCCTTTGCCCGGGCATTAGCTGCTTCAGCGTCAGCTCGGTACGAAGTTATAAATGCCTCAGCGTCGGATTTGGCCTTGGCGAGCTCAGCAGTGGATTTAGCTTTAAGCTCCTTGATTTTGCGGCCTCGAGCTAGGCTCTCCTCCTTCACACTTTGAAACTGGCGTTCGAGTGAAGCCAGTTTCTCCCAAAGAGTATCTCTCTCGGAGGCAAGACTATCCATGCGTTGCCTCCACCCTAGGGTCTCGGCCTCCTTCATCTTGAACTCCTCTTGAAGCTGCTCCGCCAGATCGCCCTTTTATTGAAACTGCAAAAGAGAAGTGTTAATAGACTGATCGGGCAAATCTATAACAAAACTTCAGAGGGTATATTACCTTTTCAGTAAGCTCAGTTTGTTCTTGACGAGCCTTCGCTAGTTTGGCTCGAAGATCGCTGATCTCCTCCTCTTTCTTGACATAGAGGGTTTTAAGACCGTCCCTCTCTTTCGAGATTTTCTTTAGCTCGGCCTCACATCGAGCAAGCTCAGCTCGAGACTTGGAGAATGCTTCTTTATGGAGCACAACGGCCTTCACAAAAGGGATAGGTTAAACTCAGAACGACAAGGATAAAGCACAAGCGTAATTTTCAAGGACAGAAACTTACTTGTTTGAAGAGCCGACGAGCCTCATCAAAAATTAAAGAAGCATCTGGGTCGGGACCATCTTCGATCCCTGCAAGGCATTCTCGAAAGATATTATGCCCTTCGTGGCTCGTCCCCACATCAGAAGTTTTCATGTTCCGAGCATCTCGGATTTGCCCCTCGGAGAACTCAGGACCAGGCGGTGACTCATCCACGTTGATTATCCTAGTGACCCAGTCTGGGCGTTCTCTTCTATTTGAAGGGCCTCGGGACCGGGCACCTCGGTCTCGCCCTCCAAATGACCTCCAAGATGAGGTTCCCTTTTGCTGCTCGATGGCTTGGAGACTTTACTCAAACTCCCCTCGCAGATTTCTTCAGTCCTAGTATGAACCACATCAGCCGCCGTCTGTTCGGCAAACTTCGAAGCATCAGTGCTTCCTCTTTTCCGAATACCAACATGCAGTCGTCATCTTCTTCTTCTTCTTCCTGGTCCTGAAGGCGTTGAGCCATTTCTGGAGATAGGACCACAGTATCGGCCTTGGGGTTTTCGAGGCGCGCATTTCTTGGGCTTCGGGGGATTTGCAGGCGACCCCCTCTTTCTTTTCTTTTCTTTGGAAGGCTTGGGGATCTCTTCTTCACCAGATAGGGGCGGCTGCATAGAAACGGCGTCTCCGAGGCCTGCATAAAGTCAAAGTAAGTATTTCATTGAGAAACACGAGTAAACAAACAAGAGAACTTACCGTGGTTTTTTGCCTCCCATCGGCCCTTGGCCAAATTGCGCCAGCAGCGCTCCGCGTATGAAGAGGTAGAGGCCAGTTTTCGGACCCAACCTTCGAGGTTTGGGACGACACCGGAAACTATGCAATAGCTGCACCATCGGAAAGGGGTTAGATCGAGAAAAAGATAAAGTCGAGAAAGAGAAGAGGAAGCAGGGTATAAAGTTACTATGCACTTACGTTTCATGTTCCATTCCTCGGGGAGTGGCATCCTCTCAGCATGAATCAGGTCAGAGGTCCTGACTCGGACAAACCGGCTCATCCATCCTCGATCTTTGTCCTCATCGATGCTGGAGAAGAGAGATTTCGAGGATCGGCATTGTAGTATTATCAAGCCACCTCGGTAAAGGCGAGGGCTGTACGGCCTGATCATATGGTCGAGGGTGAAAGGCATCCCCTCGACCTGGCTCGAGAAGAATCTGCTCAAATGAACGATTCGCTAGAATGAAGGGTAGATCTGGCCAAGCGTCACTTGATATTTTTGGCAAAAATCGAGAATAACTGGATCTATGGGACCCAGAGCTGGATTTACGGGACCCAGCGTGAATGGGTAGGTATACACGCTTAAGTACCCCGCTTTATATGTAGTGATGTCCTCCTCGGGGGAAGGAATCACTACGTCTTTGTTCTCCCAGTTGCATTCCATTTTTACCCGATCAAGCTCGTCCTCGGTTATCAAACAGACGTATCGGGACATGGGCTCACATCGACCTGATGTCGATACAGGTTTTTCAATATTGAAATTGGATGTTGTTTCACATGGCAGGGGAATACACTCCTCGATACGAGGTGGCACTACCGTTTACTTTTGGCCGGTCATGATGATGAAGAGGCTTTTTCTTTTTGAGGAATAGACTTAGATGTTTTGGCCATTGTGGTGTAGAAATTCAGAGAGAAAATGAAGTAAGGGCGAGCTAAAGAGAAGGATGAACTCAGAGAAGTTGAAGGAGCTAATGAGATTGTGAAAACGATTGGAGAGATAAAGTTTGAAAAGTTATGAAGTTGGCCTATTTATAGAGGTCACTTAAGCGTATTGGGGAAGCCAAATAGTTGACCGTCAGCTGTCTCCAATTAATGACTTTGGGAACTGCACGAAAGCGATGTTTCAGTCACTTCGAGCGCTCATGTCACGGGAATGACATCATCATCAGAGACTCCAGAGAATCGAGGTTCAATCGTTTCTTTTCGCCTACTCTAAGAAACGCGGGGACTATCTGTATACGGTCGAAATCAGGCACGCCCGATTTCCCAGGCTCGAGGGATTGCCTTAGGTCTGAGTTCAAGTAAGCTCGAGTTCGAGGTCGACAGACTACACTCGAGCTCGAGGATGGAATGCAATGCCTGAAGATAGGAGTGCGAGGAATACCGAAGTCAAGTGTGACTCTACCCCGAAATTGTACCATTATGGATTTGTAACAGAATGAGCTAGATTCCTGCCACGTCCCCAAGATCATGGCGCAAATCCCGGAATAGGATTGTACGATTCTGTACCAGGCGGT